ACTAAAGCACCACCGCTTGCGGCATCAATCATGCTTCTATCCATAGGAAAAAGTCCTTCATAAAAATACTGAATGAGTAATTGATCACTAATTTGATGGTGTGGGCAGCTTGCACATAGTTTCTTGAAACGCTCCCAATATTCATACAATGACTCTCCATTGTTTTGCCTTATACCACAAATTTCCTTTCTAATGTTGGCCGCCCTTGAAGCTGGGAAATATTTTTCAAGGAATAGTGTCTTTAAGTTATTCCATGTGGTGATGCTCCCAGAAGGTAGATAGTATAGCCAATCCTTCGCTGAATCTTTCAACGAAAAGGGAAAGGCTCTCAACTTGATTTGTTCTTCAGTAACCCCTGTGGGTTTCATACTCGAACACACTACATGAAATTCCTTTAAGTGTTTGTGCGGATCTTCACCTGCAAGTCCATGAAAAGAAGGCAAAAGATGAATTAACCCAGATTTTAGTTCAAATTGTATATTAGCATCCAGAGCGGGAAAAGTAATGCATAAAGGTTGCTGATCCAAATTTGGAGCTCCAAGCTCTTTTAATGTCCGATTTTGAGCCATGGGTTCCTCTTCTAAATCAGAATTGGTAGAATCGGTAGAATCGGTAGCCAGATCACTAAACTCCAATTTTCTCAAAGCTTGTTTCTTCCACCTGCGTATAGTTCTTTCAATTTCCGGATAGTACGGCAAGAGTTCTTGATTAGCAGATCGAGTTATAGGCATAAACAAAAAGAAAATATATTTTGATTTGCAATTATGTAAAAGTAATGAAAGAAAAGAAATTTTTATTTTTTATTTTCGTTTGGGACAAATTGAAAAAAAAATAAACAAATAACAAAATAAATAATTAAATAAATAAACAAACACAAAATAAGCTAGAAAATCTCCCCGGCAACGGCGCCAAAATTTGGTGAGCTGTCGTAGGCTCCCAAATTAAAACCTTACAAACGTAGTAGCGGGAGTAAGGATCGATCCCACGAGGAGTAACTAGTTTAACTTTTGTGCTCAAATTAAAGATAAGGGGGTTTGGAATATATCGAGAATAAAGATAAAATAAAAGAGAATTTAAATAAACAAGAAATTTAATTGAACGAATAGAGCAATGAAAATAATATATCGAAAACACTTATAATAGGAGACCTTGGTTAGTAGGAGACCTTGGTTACCTACTACGTTTGTAAGGTTTTAATTTGGGAGCCTACGACAGCTCACCAAGAAGAACCTATTGAACAAGTCAACATGGCAAAATTTGGTGAGCTGTCGTAGGCTCCCAAATTAAAACCTTACAAACGTAGTAACGGGAGTAAGGATCGATCCCACGAGGAGTAACTAGTTTAACTTTTGTGCTCAAATTAAAGATAGGGGGGTTTGGAATATATCGAGAATAAAGATAAAATAAAAGAGAATTTAAATAAACAAGAAATTTAATTGAACGAATAGAGCAATGAAAATAATATATCGAAAACACTTATAATAGGAGACCTTGGTTAGTAAAGATCCACCACCGGAATTCAACACTGATCATTGATTAATAAAGTAATTAATATGCAATTGAATATTTGTCGTGAAATTATTTCATTTCTGTTTTCCCTTAGTTGTAGGTAAATAAAGCACAAGCGGTTTAATTACCCCTAACTACTAAATAACCTAAGACAAGCGCTATAGATTTAATTTAATAGCAGCAATAGGAACTAGGAAAATCGACAAACTAAATAACACAAGCACAAGCGGTTGCATTTAATTTAGGAAAATATTCTTTCCGAGTCCAATTATCACTAAGCCGTCAATAATTAACCCAGTTGCTACTGAATATTAGAATAATTTGTAGCACAACATTATCTAATATAGCAAATAATTATATCAAATAAATAACTAGTAGGCCTCCCTAGCGATTAAATGACACAATTATTTCAAATAACTTAGAAGAATATTTAATACTCAAATGCATAAAAAATATATAATAAAAATAAATAAATAACCTTACAGCGTTGTGAACTCCGGGGCTTCGATTCACTAAACCAAACAAGAAATTAGCCGCGAATGGGCATTGATAACAACCTTAAAGAATATTCGAGAGGGGAAGAATGAACATTTTATAATAGAAAACTCCTGCTATTTATAGCATTCTAAAAATAGGTCAAATGGATTTCCACCACCCAATTCCTAATTTCTTGCCTCACGTCCTGAAGACATCTTCCACTTCCGCTATAATTTTGCTCAACCTGTACAAAACAAATTGAGGGGAGGATATATTAGTACATAATGTTATATATATATTATATTATATATATAAAGTGGACCTTTTATATCTTTATAATATATATATATATATATATATATATATATATATATATATATATACTAGTACGTACTATATATTAATAGTATATTCTATATATTATATATTATATTATATATATATGTTTAGTTTGTGCGTAATATATATATATACATATATATATATATATATATATATATATATATATATATATATATTAGTATGTATTATATATACTATATATTATATATATTATATATTATATATTATATTATATATAAAAAGAACTAATTATTAGATAATATTAAATAACCAATGCAAAATTATTATAAAGATGTACCTAAAATATGAGTGAAAAATGTGTCTATCAGCCCTCCAGAATTGCGAGAGAAACCTGGGATCCCTATCAGAAATGATATTTAACGGAATTCCATGATATTTGACTACCCGGCTTATGTAGGTTTTGGCTAATTGAGTCATTGTCCAAGTTTCTTTCATGGCATTGTCCCTAGGGATGGATTGATTAGGCAAGCACAAAGCTAAGATTTTATGTGAGGAACGGAAGGTAATAATGAGAGGACCGAAAGGAAAGTACGTGTCATACAAAGGCAATCCAGAACCACCAGGAATGAGAGTGGTATCCATGATTAAGATGAGAAAGTATGTAGAAAAGGGACATGAAGTTTACCTATGTACCCTCCAAGATTTAAGTGCCAAGGGCGAGAGTTTGGAAGAGATTGCTGTAGTAAGGGAATTTCCAGATGTATTTGTGATACCCCATATTTTCTGGGCACTATACGAGGACTGAATGTGCGTACGAAGTTCATTTTATTAAATTCTCCTATCCTTGTCCTTATTACTTAATATTATTCTATTTCTTGGACTCCAAGTTTGACCTAATATCATCCTAAACCCTATTATTCTTTGAGCTTAATAATTTTCTAAAAGAGTGTATGAGTATTTATATATTTAGTATTGCACGAGATTGCATATGAGTGTGATCATAGTATGGCATGAGATTTCATATTAGTATGTTACTATTGTTGCACGAGATTGCATATGAGTATGAATATATTATAGCACGAGATTGCATGAGTATGAGTATATTATTGCACGAGATTGCATATGAGTATGAGTATATAGTTGCACGAGATTGCATATGAGTATGTATATAGTATTGCATGAGTTTGCATAAGAAGTATGATTATAGCATTGCACGAGATTGCATATGAGAGCAATGTATAGTATTACACAAGATTGCATGTGAGTAGAGTATCGTATGAGATTTTATAATAAGGAGGTTGACTTAAGATTTTCCGTCGAGCATTATTATCTTGTTGTACTAGAAACTCTATTTATCAAGTTATGTGATGAGAATGGGAAGGCATGAGAATACCTGTTATATGGTCTATTAGCATAATCCTATCTGTAAGCATGAATTGCGTGTTAAGTTATTTGAGAAGTTTATATGTTAATGAATCTATGTGAACAGTCTTTTACATATATGAGCATGCCAGATGATATTATAGGGTGCAAGCGTTTAGAAAGAATGTGATAGATCTAATGATGATTTTGTGATGAGCTTATTGTTATAAAGAAATCAAATATTTTCTAAGTAAATGCTAGAATGCTTAGCTTTACAGGGTTGAGTGTGGTTATACTTAGCTTTGTGCTAACGGGTGTTTTTCCTATTTGTCTATGTGTTGCTTGCAAAACCCCTTGCAGGTGGGCCCAGCAGTGTGAATAAGTCGAGTTAGATTAGTCTCGTAGTTAGAGATATCTAAACTCTAGTTTTATTGATGATTATGTTATGGATTTTAGACTTATCGACTTTATGGTTTTGAGGATGTTGTAGACTTTTGGGGTGACGTTATTTCCCCCTTATGTTTTTAGTTTTTATGATGGATGCCAGACTTTTACTTTATTTCTAGTTTTATCCCCTTAGCCTGTGTAATCACCACGGAGTGGTGGTTGTGGCGGTGACACTCCCACTGACTATCTTATTAGTTTTAATTCCGCTGCTTAATTTATAAAATTGGTTGTTTAGAGTTGTAATTAAGAGTTTTATACAGTTCTCATCCGCCTTCTCCGTCCACTGCTCCAAGTAAAGAAATACTAATTATCATACAAATCGGTAGTGCAATACAATTCAAAACTTACAAGATGAGCATAGGCTATTTTTGGTTATTATGTGTGTGTGTGTGGCCCTCCAGCCCGCACATAAACGGGTTGAATCCGTTTTCTCTCCATTCGTGATGTGCTAGTCCATAAGACTCTAACAATAATGTTTAAGCAACTCTAAACGAGATAATTCTAGATGAAGTAGAACTCTAATATATTTCTAATTGGGGCCCAAAAGAAAAAACAAAATGCATGCAATCTTTATACCATGGACTAGAGTTCACATTGCATTATTGACCGGGTGATGTATGTACACGTATCTTATATTATGAGTTTTTGTGCCTATTATGTACCTTAGTACAAATTAGTAATTGTGTTTTAGGTTATGAATTTTCACGTTGTGATTTTTTATGTCTTGTGTTATGAAATTCAATACCTAAGAATTATGTACCTCATCCAGGGTCTATAATGCTACGTGGATCCATGTTAAACTAAAGTATAAATATATAATTATTATATTAAGAAGCATCGGACAATCTACAAATACAGAAGACAGTGTATGTTAAAGACATAACCTACGCAACCTTAGATTCTATGGTGTAATTATTAATTAAAAACTCTTTAATTGGCTCTCAGTTTATGGCCTTCTAAGATTTTTCCCAATTTCTTTCAAGCAATAGCAATGGCGGACCAGCCTAGCAGAGCTCTGGTGCTGTACGGTGACAGGATGGCGCGATTCCTCACTCCATCTCATACCCATCTCCATTCTCTCGCTTCTCAGGCCTGCTGCGGCTTCTTGTCTCTCCCTCACTCTCCTCCTTCAGGTTTTTTCTCTTTTTTTCTTTTTTTTTTATTTTTCCATAAAGATTCGTATTTTAGGATTGTTTTGCGATCCGAGTTCATTGTATCAGTATTCGGTAGATAATTAAGTCGATTTGTTTTCTTGATTTCTATTAGATTAAGGCTAAAATGGTTGCATTTATTTATGCATTGAAAGGGATTATAGAAAAGGTGGTGCCTTTTATGATTTTCTAATCCAATTTTATTGAAATTGGTAAAGCAAAAATGGAGTTGGACTATGTTATCAGTTAGGGGGACTTGCAGGATTTATATAAGAGAGAGAGCTGCAACCTTGGGAGGTTGTGGTTCCTTCCAAGGTTAAGGGTTCGATCATTGGATTTGGGTATGGAGCAGTCTTAAATCTCCATGACAGCTGTCCCATCCAAAAAGGTGCCTACATTTCAGGGGATTAGTCACTGTGTCCGACGGTGGAAACCTGGATATACCCAAAAAAAAAAAAAAAAAGAGAGAGAGAGCTGCAGTTGGATTTTGCAGGATTCAGCTACATAAGTTTTGATTTTGATTCCTTAGGGGTTTTTCTAGACTGAATCGTTGTTACATTACTATACCTGCCTTTGTTACTTTTGAAGCTTGATTGGAGATTGGTTTGCAGAAAATGAGGATGGAAGAATAGTGAGAGAGTTTGCAGAGCTACTTGATGCGAGTGAAGCTTATAATGAAATGGTGAGATGCATTTGTTATGATTGTAAGGTTTATTTGGTATGGAGAGGGTTTTGTTTTTTCAATTTCTTTTGGTTTGATTAAGAGATCGTATTAAAGCTTTTTGTTTTGGCCTTTAGAATAAACAACATCTTTCTGAAGCAAAATCTCAAGAGAAGTTTGTAACACCAACTGTATCACAGAGGTAAACTTTCAACAATTTGCAGTCCACCACTCGTGTTGTGTTGTGATTGATGCTTATGTCTAATTATAATTATGCATATGTTAATAATTTGGGAGTTTTGGGTAATGGATCTGACCTATATGGTGTGGATTTAGGTTTATGGGGATGAAAGCTGCTATTGTCACTGATAATTCGAGCTTGAACGGTTTCTGTAGTCACCTTGGCTTCACCGTGTTGCAGCTGGAAGATTTAGTTCATAGCAGCTTTGATGTGGTCAAGTCATCTCTCTTGGCCTCCGAGTTGCTAAAATTACTAGGATTTCAAGAGGGAAAGGTTTTGGAGACAAGCCAGTTTGATTTAGTAATTGTTCATGTTGGTAGTAGCCGAAAGAGTACTCTTGAAGACATAGAACATGTCAATGGTTTGGTCGGTGAGTTAATAAACACGGCACAACCTGGGACTGGACTTGGTTCTCACCTGCACCTTTCTGTCTTATTGAGCTTTGGGGCTGTTTTAGAAAATGAAAATTCCAAATTTTCTGTTCCCGACGGTAGACATGAGAATAGTCCTGAGCTTTCTAGACTCTTTCCTCGCCAAAGTTACACATTAAAAGGAGGAATACCTCGAGAGAATGTTAGGTAGCTGCACTCTCTCTTTTTTCCCTTTTTAACCACATTGATAATATAACATAGAATCTTGGATATATAATGCTTTTTTTTTTGACAGAAAACATTGCCCAATGTTAGTTGCTCAATGGCAAGATGGTGTAACTCGCAAAGATATGGTAGAATCATATTCTTTTGAAGATTTTAAAGAGGTATGTTTGAAAAATGTGAACTTTTATAGCTTTGGTTGAATGGTCTTTTCCTCGAATAGTTTTTATTACACATGAATGTTTTATTTTTTAGACTATTTTTAAAATTTAAACTTGACCACATGTGAATATGGTTTATTTATATCTCTCTTTATCGTTTGGATGGAGTTTTTAAAATCTAAATCGTCCACTAATGTCTATAAACTTTTTGTTTGGAGAACTGTACACGGTTTAAATATTGTCTTTTGAGGAATCGGTAATTCTAGTGTTATTTATACTTCTTGTACATGTAATGCAGCATGGCGGGAATCTTGTAATTCCAACTGACAGGTACTTTCATGAATTAGCGTTTAAGCTTTGGAAAGCTCCAAAATATGGAGCATGAAGTATATCTACTCGGAAGTCCTATTTGACTTGGTCAATATTTGTGGATGTGTAACCGGAACTATAACATCAGCATTTGAATTTGAACCTGATATTTTTGCGAGATAATATATGTTTTGATTTCTGTTTTATACAAGTATTGCAATAAGAATTAGAATATACTTAAAGTTAATAATTTCAGAAAATATTAATGCATGCAATTGCCTATGTTAATCAAGATCCGAATTTATGGATTTAATGCTTTCTCCAAACTCTAACATCATAGAGATATTTTCAAAAATCTAATAGCATTGTATTAGGAAATATATTAGTGGAATCAATCAATTTAAGAATCTTAAATATTATAATATAGTTTTCATTTCGGCTTAGAAAGTGAGGATAATTTCATTAATTCATCATTTGGTATCAAGAGTTGAGAATTTGCAAATGAGATCGAGGGAGTAGGAACTATTTGTGTTCATGACAATTATTTATTCAACACTAAAAATAATTTAACTCTTTAGATTTAAATATTTGTTGGAGGGCTATAATGTTTAAGCATGATTTTATGCATACAAAATGTTTTTTTCTAAGTTTATTTATTTTAGAATTTTTTTGGTGAATTATGGTTTTTTGTTAAATATGGTTTATTTTTTAAATAATGTGTATGTACAAAGATTTGGTATTTAATTTTAAAAATTTTGATATAATAATCACAAAATAAATATTTAATATTAAATTGAAAAATTTTAAAGTTTTAGATGACAAAATGATGCTTGCTGCCATTATTGGTGATCACACCTCAATTCTCTATATTGTCATCTTTTGAAGATTCAATAATATCTACAGTGGGGAAAGGAGTGGAGCTTCTTCAAGCCTTACATTATAATATCTACATTGCTTGATTTATTCAATAATTATTTTCATGTTGAGATTTAACCATTCTTGAGGTATTGAATTGACTATTTGGCAAGACACCTGAGTAGCTTCAAATAATTGTGCTTAATATTGAGCATTCTCAATAGTATAGTTTTTCACAAATTTTTAAATGTCAAGTAAAAGATGAAGAAGAGGAAAAAAAATTGTCAAAAAATCACGCACACTAGGAGCTGTTTTTTAATTTTTGATGGGCAAAAAACCAAATCCTCCGGCAAAGATCTCAAACAATCTCTTTTCTCTCTTCCATCCCACCTTAGGCCCCACAAAAAATCACCCAAAAACTATCTTTCTGGCCCTATACCTTAGCAGCAATTCCTATTTGGGAACCGTGGCTTTGTGTGGATTACCACTAATATTATAATTTCTGGATTGAATTTGGCTGGCTAAGTGTTATTGTCAAATATACTGTTGTGGCATACCCTAATGGACCTTATAGTGGTGTGTGTTCTACATACATACATACATACATAGAGAGAGAGAGAGAGAGAGAGAGAGAGAGAGAGAGAGAGTTAAAAAAGGCTGGGCTGCAAGCTCCAGATATAAACAATTGTTGATAGAGCAGGTGTTGATGAATATGGATAAAAGTAAAAGTCATCAAACTACAAGGGAATAAAAACTTGGGTTTTGAAAATATATACTTCAATTCTGGAATGTGGCTTAAGCAGTGGCTGCAGCAGCCTGTTCTTCAACCATCTGTGATGGCGTAAGGAGAGTGCAGATAAGGTTGCGGTCTCCATACACATTGTCAACACGCCCTGATATATATATAATAATAAACATACCAAATTTCTCAGTAACTTGCATTGCGAAATTAAGGAAGGTATAACACAATACAGAACAAGATCGCTATCCATTCCATTTAATTCGATCTCCAAGTCCTAAACACAACTAAATTTTTTTGCAGGTTCTTAAGAGTTCATAGTTACAGTTTCTCTTTCTCATAGACTTCATTCTCTTAAGGTTCAACAATTTCTCCCAGTAAGCAGTATTTTGCAGAGAGAGAGAGAGAGAGAGAGAGAGAGAGAGAGAGAGAGAGAGAGAGATGTTTTTAAAGCAGCCAAAATTCATTAATTGGTCATAAGGTGTTTCTCAACTCAAATTAGTCTTAAATAAACAAATTCTCATAATTGTAATGATATAAATGTATGCATTCTCTTTAATTGTGGGTAACTTTGATGAGTATTTAACCCAGTCCTGATCTTGATTAATATATACAGTGAACATCAGTAATTGTAGCAGTTAAAATACCTGTAGACGGCCAGAATTTGGCAGTTCTCAGCCAGGGAGCGGGGAAGGCAGCATATTCCCTAGAGTATGGTTTTGTCCATTCATCACCCATAAGCACTGACGGTGGATGAGGAGCGTTCTGCAGTGAAACAAACAAAGATCCATGTCTTAGTCTTCAAATTCTTCAAACTTAAAGACAGACAGACTCGAAATTTTTTTTACCTTAAGAACGTTATTGTTAAGATCAAACTTCCCCTTCTCAATCTGACCAATCTCTTCCCTAATGGAGATGAGTGCATCACAAAATCTGTCTAATTCTGCCTGCACAAGTTATACATATATCAATAGCATTAAAAGATAATAATAATAATAATAAATAAATGAAATATATCTTTATTATGCATCACCCTACCTTGCTTTCACTTTCAGTTGGCTCAATCATTAGTGTGCCAGGAACGGGCCATGACATAGTTGGTCCATGAAATCCATAATCCATAAGGCGTTTAGCAACATCTTCAGGTTCGATTCCAGCAGTATTCTGAACCAGTCCTCAAGTAAGGATAAAATGTAGAAGAAGAAGAAGCATAATGAAAGACGTCAGAGATTGGAAATTTAAAGCCAGAGCTACCTTAAATCCCCTCAAATCAATAATGAATTCATGTGCACATGTTCCATTGACGCCACGGAATAGAACAGGATAGTGACTCTGTTGATGCAAAGCAGAAAATATTAATTAAACCAAACACTTGTTGCAATTTTAATAAGAAGAAATGACTAGTAAAAAAGCAGACCTCTAAACGTTTAGCCATGTAGTTTGCATTCAAGATGGCTATCTTTGATGCTTCAGTAAGTCCCTTCGACCCCATCATGGCTATATACGTATATGATATTGGCAAAATAAGTGCAGAGCCCCATGGAGCAGCTGAGATGGTACCCAAGGGTTGGCTCTTGTCAGGGGATGGGATACCTCCAGTTGGAACCTTCAAAATAACAGTCAAAATGTGGAGATGATCTTAATCATCAATCTATTCTACAAGGAAAATGAATCTATTGTCTATTGTACAGTATAACAATCCAAACTCTTTTCATGCAATCAACAAGGTGCAAGTTCATTCGAGGGCATACCACAGGATGTGAGGGCAAAAATGGTGCTAGATGTTTCTTCACACCAATTGGACCCATGCCTGGACCACCTCCACCATGAGGAATGCAGAATGTTTTGTGGAGATTTAGATGGCAAACGTCTGCTCCAATAAAGCCCGGACTTGTCAAACCAACCTGTAGAACAGAAAAACTTAGCCGGGGCATAACTAACCTATTTTCTCCCAGTTAAAAGACTATATTCTAATTAGTTTATTCGTAAGAGACAACGTACACAACTAAATAAGCTTCAACCTCTATTTGGAGCTCCACGATTCTATTTTGAAAAGATACACTGGAAATAGTTCAAGAGATTAAAGATCCCATAGAAAATTATACCTGTGCATTCATATTAGCTCCGTCCATGTAAACTTGACCACCATTCTCATGAATTATCCTGCATATCTCATCGACGCCTTCCTCATAGACACCGTGTGTTGAAGGATATGTAACCTGAAATACGAATTTTTGAATTAAATTTCATTAGCAATTTACAGATCCAAAAAATCAGTCCGAAAAAACTCTATTCAATGAAGTATATATACCATAAGAGCAGCTAGATTATCTTTATTTGCCTCAGCAGCCTTCTTTAGTTCTTCAATATTAATGTTTCCTTTTGCATCAGTTCCAACAGCAACAATTTTCATTCCACACATGGCTGCACTTGCGGGATTTGTTCCATGTGCAGATACAGGTATGATGCATACATTGCGGTGACTGTCACCTCTCGACTACAGTAAACATCCAACAAAAAGATTAGTAAAGATTAGCAGGCGATATTCTTTCTAGCCCTATAATGAGGCACACTTTATTCAAGGAGTAACTAAATTTCTCATTTATATCCTCAAAAATAAAATCTTTTCGAAGATGGAAAGCATTTTCTTAGCGAACTCTTTTAGGAACTGATGGAGTATTTTTTTTATTAATGACTAGAACATAGTACCAAATGATATGCACGAATGACCATCAATCCTGCATACTCTCCGGCAGCACCAGCATTAGGTTGCAAGGAAAAGGAATCAAATCCAGTAATTGTACACAATAGTTCACCCAAATCATTGAACATTTCCTGGGAAAAAAATATGACAGTTAGATTAGTTCTGTCAATCCAGACCAATTAAAAATCGAATACTACATACAAAGTTAAGAACACGTCTAACAACCTGGAATCCTGCAGCCTGTTCAGTGGGTGCAAACGGGTGAATATCTGCAAAGCTAGGCCATGTCACTGGCATCATCTCTGTAGTTGCATTCAGTTTCATAGTACAGGATCCAAGAGGAATCATGCTGTGGCACAGAGAAATATCCTTCGCTTGCAGCCTATGAAGGTACCTAAGCAACTCATGCTCAGTGTGGTACCTAAAGCAAGGCAACAGTCAGATAGTATACAACAGAAAACTGTAGAGTTGCATTCAATAGGAAAAGGCCATACGTGTTGAATACTGGGTGAGTCAAATATGGACTATCCCTTACAAGACTGGAAGGAATCACATTTTGAACCTCTGGTGCAATAGATTGAGCACTGAATGGCACCTGGTAATTAAAATTAGCATCAGAATTAACAAGAATGATAAATCAATGATGCCTACCACAATGAAAAAAAGCAAAGCAGTGACACTTACTGGCTTTCCACATGCAAAAATTTCAAATAGCTTGTCAACGTCTTCTAAAGTGGTTGTCTCATCAAAAGCAACGGTTATCTGAAAGGACAATGTCAATCCATTCACTTCATAATGTAAGTAGCAGGTTTTAAGAGCACAAGACAAATCCAACCAGACTTACGGTATTGTTATCCACAATCCTCAAGTTAACCTCGTTTTTGTAAGCAGCCTCAGCAATTGCTTTT